GTGGGTGGAGGAAAAGCTAGTCCTTGTCTTATAGGCATATGCAACTGAAGGAAGAAAATGAGGGGGAGAGAAGAGTCTCCGTACTGTATTTTTGGTGCTATTACAGTCTCAAGATTGTCATGACAACTAATACTATTTTTCTGTTCAGAATCTTGAAACTGTGTAATTTATTTTAAGGTCATGATTATCTTCCAGCTGATAAATGCTTAAGATGTGTTGTTGAATTCACTGTTTTGTGTTCCCTTCTATGGTTGCAGTTTTCTTTTAAGGAAGAGACTTGCAAAGCAGCATATGTAGTTACTCCGGATCTCCTTCCTTAAGGATGACTGGGACTATATAGCCAGATAGCATCTCAAGCAGTATTGCGTCCGTATGGACAGTCACACTTCCAGCACGTGAGGCTTTTAACCTCAGGCCATCAAGCTGTTTTTGGTGATGGGAAGGAAGCAACAAATGACCTGATGCTTGGCATACTTCGGATCTGCGTGAGACAAACTCTGTTTGAAACGCTTCCTTTCTGGGAATCAGCACCAAATACAGATTAGTAGTATTTCTTTTCGAGATACCCTTACAGGTATCAGCCACACAGGAAATTTTACATATGGGTTACTTCTATGAGCTGTTCTTCTATGAGCTTCTAACAGCTCAATCTTACCATGATTTGATGAGCAGTCTAGTCAGTTGTCATGAAGATATTATCCAAACTGGTAGTGTTTATGGCCATGTAAAGATAGTACAAACAATGAAAATTGATTATCCTGATGCAATAGCCTAAGCGTGACTTTTGCAATCTGCAAGTCCAGTTGCATATTCTAAAATCTGTCCTGGTGCAGTCATGGAGATGTGTGTAAGTTAACTAGACACTGGAGCCTATTTTTTTTTAATTTGTCATCTGCAGTTCACCATAGTCCTCTTCTTAATTCTCTTTAACAAGGTTTCTGTATCTGGACTTGCTGACAAAATAACAGGGAATGTGACACATCCAGTCCTATTAAATATCACAGTAGTGATTCATCAGGTGCTGAGTAACAGTCAGTGGATGTATGAGACTTAAAGGGAGAGGAAGCATCTTGCTGTACATCCTACTCTTGTGTCATTGTTGGATCTATGTATTTCTAAAATACTCCTTGGTGGAGGGATGACTTTAAGCTAAGAGATTAGTTGGTCTATACAGTCTTACTTTCTGGTGTTCTGTTAAAGCCTGTGCTTTGGGTCTTAAGCAACAGCACATGCCATTAAAACTCTGAATGTAAAATGTTTCAGCATGGCAAGAACTGCAGTTACGCATGCCAAGTGGGTATTTGACTTTCTGCTCTATTATGTATTCCCATAAATGGCCAGAGTCTGGACTAAGTTACTTGTGGAGCCTGAAGCAAGAAGTGCTGCTTGGTATGGGCTAATTATGCTTTTTCTGATATCTTCAGAACTGAAACTTCCCAGTGCTTTGGGCAGAAACAATCCAAATGAGATTGTTACGAATCACCTCTTGCTCAAATCTCCGATTCAGAAACTTTTACCCTGCCCATTTGTTAGCCTTGCAATGCATTTTCACATGTCAGTGTTACACTGAAGTTATAACTGACCATTTTCAAGCCAATTATAAAAGCTACTTTTCGTTTCAGGGAAGGGGATCCAAGCCCTACTTTTGTAGGAAAGCATGCTGCCTCTGCTGCTGAAGGCTGGTTCTGGGAGCCTTCGGAGGTCACTGTCACAGACCGCTGCTGTCGTATTGGGCTGGTGGGCGTTGCAAGCAGCTCTGAATTGGGTCAGCCAACTGGGCTGCCCTAGTCCCTTGGCACGTTGTGAGACTCACTGCTCTCAGAGCAAGCTTATGCAAAAGTAGTAAGATTTAAGTGGGAGAGCATGCTATCCTTGGTCTCAAGGAACAGCTCTTCTGGAGCTTCAACTCCGCAGACTCTGAGCATACATACTTTCTCCAGACATGCCGCACAGCTGAAGCTACAGGAGACTGGCTGGTGGAAGCTCTCAAATCTTTGTTTTAGCTACCTGATCAGTTGTTCTCTGGGCTTAAACCAAACTCTTCCCTCTAGATGTTATTTAAGTCTGGAGGGTAAGGGAATATCTACCATACAGCTAGATTTTTTTTTTTCCTAGTCCTGTACTTAAATCAGAGCCTCTGCTAAAAGTAAGCTTTTTTTTGTTGACATTTAATATTCTTTTCTCTTGTTCTGTAACAGATCTAGTCCTCACTTAAACAATAATCTCAGACCTAGCTTGAGCCCTTCTGGAGCTTAGCTTTCACCAAGTGATTTGCCTCAGACAGCTCTATGTATTTAGAAAAAAACCCCATGGTCTTCAACATTTAATCAAAGTTTAATGATGCTGTGCTGTCCCACTGCATTTGTAAGTCTTTATGTGGTCAGCACTGCCATGAGTTGCCACTTCCTTCTTTTTGGAAGACTTCTTCCCCTGCTCAGTTTCCACTGTTTGACACAGCAACAAATAAATACTCTTTCTCAGTAGCAAAATTCATTACAGTTGGCATTTGGCCTATCACGTGTGGACTGTTACTGAAACATTATGATGGCTACTGCACAACTGTATAATTAAGCATTCTTAGGTAACTAGCTTCAAATTAGTAAGTTACTTGTTAAGTGCAATGTGGTTGTCTCATTGATTATCCCAGTTGGAACTGCAATGAGGTTAAGGCTACAAAAATAGCTGTAATGGGGGAGTCTGCAGTAGTTTTTCTGCTGAAATGAGAGTTGTCCTGGATTAGAAATGTATTCTGATGTTCCCTGGGCCTTACTGTTAAAAGGTAGCAATGCTTAATTTCAAATTGAAGAGAGGCCTGCTAGCTTTCTGTTTCTAAAGTTAAGGGAAATTTCAATACTAGAATAGTTTATTCAGTATCTTCCTGCTTTTTTCCTCCTTGACCCCCCTCTCCTGAATAAATGCAAATATTTTTTCCCCACCTTCTACTGCTCACTTTTTTTTCTCTTTCCCCATCTGCAGTCAATGGAAAGGGAAGTGATAGATTTTTTCCTTACCATAGATAAAGATCAATTTTTGTAAATAGTGAGCCTATATTCTCATAACTTAGTGATTTAATTTGGAAAAGAACCTGACAGTAATAATCACCTCGGTATTGTTTAACTAAATGTTGCCATGACAAGCAAGACTGCTGTGCAGCACTTTGTATGTACTACTATACACTGCAAAATGCGCATACTCTTGAATTGCTTCTCATTGGACTTTACTATACACCCTTCCACAAGCAAAACATCAGAGCATCGTTCTTCAAAGGAACTTTTTAGACAGCTACTTACTAGAGAACGTGGCAACTTGGAAATTCTGAGTAAGCAAGTAGGTGGCTCTGTTCCTACCTGTATCTTTTCACATATTGTAGAACATCTTCCACTTTGTCTTGTAAATATGCACAACTGATCTTGCTCTTCTTCCTTAACCCTGAAACCTGACTTGTGTAACTGTTGTTATGCTTCCTGTGCCCAATTCTGAACGGCTGTCACTGAAAGGCTTGGATGGATGTGTGTAATCACATGTAAGAATGGCTTTTAACTTCCATTTAGCAGTTTGTCAGCAACACTTTACGTATAGGATAAAGACAAAGTGAAGAGAATCAAGTAGTTCTGCTGTCATATACAGTGAGTGGAAGATCAGCCCTCAGCTAGTGCTTTAGAGTGCTGATTAGAGTTTCCTGACTGGCCCTTGCTAATGAATCAAACAGCTGGATCAGCAGTAAATTCAGTTTGGAGAAATGCAACAAAGTTCAGTCAGAATTAAAGGCTGACTCAGTGTAACAGCTATACTGTTGCCTGGGAGGAGACATTGAAGGAGGCTGTCTGTCATGGGCATGATTAATGTTGGCTCAGGCAAGGCCTGATCAAGAGTTCTAGCAGCCTCTGAAACCTACGTCCCGCCGGAGAGGCAAGAGTTCAGGTAGCTTAAGCCTGAGACAGTCACTAAGTATCAAGACAGACCCATCTATCTCCATTGACTTTCCCTTGTCACAAAAAGGAAGTAGAACCTGTGTCTTGTAATCCCATTAGAAAAGAGACTATAGGCAGCCAGGTGTTTTTTCAAAGGGAAAAAAACTGTATAAAAAAATAAACCTGTAAGGGAAAGCTTTTGTTTTAAGGGCTGGTGATCATTAGTGTGTAGTACTAAAGCTGAGGAATTTGACTCATTAGAAAAGTATGCATTTTAGATTAAGATGACCATTAGAATTTTAACTGCATATAAAAACAAGACTTCAATTTTAACCAAGTTTTAAGGTGGTGAACAGAACAGTTTGTTACCTTGTCTTTCAAGACTTTGAAGTAACTGGAATAGACAGTCTTTTTTCCTAACAAGTTGGGAAAGAAAGCAGGAAGGGGTGTTTTCAACTTTTGGGAAGGTCAACAATTGATAAAGCTGATTCAGAAGTGATTTAAGAAACTACAGCTGAATGAAGCTGTTTAAAAATAGTTTGGCTCTTCAAGCATTAATTCCAGTTACATTGCTTAATAGATCTCACAGCTTTAGAACTTAACACAAGCACTATTTTAAGTTGAATTAGTTTTTAACTTCTCCTACTCTTCAAATAAGCCTAGGCTTAATACTTCAGATTAAAATTCCTTTTCCTGAACTCTTTCTTGTAATGTAGGCTGTTTGGAGTTGTCAGCTGTGCGCATCACCTTAATCTGTAACCAGCTGTTTTGCAGTTAGGTGTGTTCTCATCTCTTCTGCCAAGAGCAATCAGACTGTGGCTATGAATGAACTGCAAAGCATGATACTGGTTAATCAAGGAATAACTGAGTACTAGTTTTTAATATTAAACTATGCAGTATAAACAAGAGACTTGTCAAATTTCTAAGCGGATTGTTTTTCTGTACCTAGCCTGGCTCAAATAGAGTGCTGTACTAAGAGGAAACACAACCAGCCTGATAATACCTTTCCTTCTTAATGCCTGTTTTGATACAGAGTACAGTTGCTTCTTGATGATGCTGGCCTATATACTTTTGAAATAAAAGCTAACAGACAGTAAAATGGAAAATTTATTAGTGCAAGTTGGTCACTCAGTTTCTTCCAACAAGTACATAACAGCATCCCATGCTTATACATTATAAACAAACGTGTTGTAAGTTAAGAAAAGTTGAACTTGTCTTGAAGTAACAATGTGTTACATATTGTCATCGTCTGATTCATCTTCCTCTTTCAAAGATTCCTGTTTTGAAAAAAAGTGTAATTAAAAAATAGTTTAACAGTTGTTTTATAATTCAGCCTATAACAAGCAAAATGAGTTGCTTATGTCCAAAGCCTTGTATTCAGCAGGCTAATTCGTATATTTAGGAGGTAATACTGAGCACCATCATTACTTTTAGAACAAAAGCAAACCTGTTAAATGCTGGAAGTCTAACTTTCTCTAGCTGATTATCTTTAAAAATTGTTCTAGGCAACATGACTTATTACCTCTCCTGCTCACTTACGCCATTGTTGAAGAGGTAATACATTTACTTTTGAAGGACAAACACGCCACTTGTGCAAGCCTGCTGAATTGCACTGGGTTTGAAAGTAAGAACCATCCCTGGATTACGCTGTAAACTTCACTATTCTCCCTTGCTGAAGTGGTGTGTGTTATAACTATACATTTTCCAGCCATCACAGCAATAGAAGCCTAACCTTCAGTGAGTTCCTTCTACTCTAGAAGTCAAATGAAGCACTGAGACGACACCAAAGTAGGACCTTACCTTGGCATATTTTTCTGCTTCTTCCCTGATGTCTTTGGGAACAATTTCATGTTTTCCATTGGTTACTGCCAATAAAAAGAGTACATCTTAAGTAGAATTCGCAGAAAGACCTTGACATACAGAGTAAATTTAAGAAGCAATGTTTTATGTTTTACTTTAGTTACAGAAAGTTATAAATTTTCTATAGTGTTTATAGAAATTACAGAAATGCATTACTTTCTCCAACCCAGCTGAGTTCCAGCTCAAAAGCTTTATCCTTTACTTCATCGTGAACTATGTAGATTCTGGAAGGAACAAACAAAGTACAGATTAGAACAGATTGATTAATAGGCTAACTATACTTTCTTCCTTTCACAGATTTCTTCTGTTGAAGTACTTCTCTTACAGTTAATAGAAGCTCCCCCCATGCTTTCTCCCCTGCCCACACACACAAAAAAAACCCATCAGAGAATTTTCCAGGCTTAATTGCTAGTATAACAATACATTAAATGATTACAGCTAAGATGCAGATTGAGCTGTTCAAGTTATCTTAATTAGAACAAACATTAAGATTCAAATACTGCAGAACCAAGGCTACGTCATCATCGCCTGCTTCTGCTAGATTAGTTATAATACAGTTAGGAGTGTCCTATATTTCTCCTATAAATCTTATTTCAGTTTACACTTAAGACTAAATCCCAACACCATAGTATCTTGTGTCTAATTAGAAGCCTGTGCATAGATCTCCATATAGACTGCCATACTTATGGCAAACACGATGGTAATCAGAATTTAACCTACAAGTGGTATTACAGCGTACGCCGTACCATCCAGACTAGTAAAATCACTCCTTAGTCTGTGGGATAAAAATGTTACACTGTAATAGCAATGCTGATTTGACTGCATCATAGTATTCAGTCCTCAGTGGCAGAACATGTAAACAAACTATAATAACCCTGACTTGAGACATACACTCAAAACAATAGTAGAACTTCCAATAACCTGTGGCTTCACTTGTTGAGGTGGTTATATTCCTCAGTTCGTTTCAGAAACCATTAATAAGTGAAAAGCTGAAAAACACCAGCTATTTCTAGCCAACATAGAAAGCTTGGAGATAGTGGAAGAAGGAAGGATACCTTCAGCACCACACTGAGTACTTACAATTAAAGTTTAATAAAAGTATTGTGAAACAAACATAAAGAACAAAGTTAACGTTGGTGTCCAGGGAAATACCACTATATGCTTATGTTCTTCTGACACTCTTCTGTCACTGTTAGACTGGACTTACTGATCATCGATTAAGATGATCTATAGGCCTTTCCTATGTGTTACAAGCTGGTTACAAGCCTTTTGCAACAAAGTGTACCATTACAAGCTCTTGAAGAAATCATTACTCTGGAATCTGGCTAGTATTTTAGGGTTAAAAAAAAAATGATTAAAATCTTTACTATCTTGCTAAATGCTACTAAGGAGCTGAACTTGAGGTGAAAAACAGAACTATATCTAGAGCTGCTGTTAAGTTTTGAGCTGAAGCAGAATTAAAGAACTGAAGGCTTTTCATTATTTGAAAATCCGTGCCCTATTTGTGCCATTTTAGAACTGCTTTGAGGTCCTTGCTAGGTTTTAAGAACAGAGATCCCACAAATTCTTTCCTCTAGCTGCTGATGTGACAGCCTCCGACACAAACTCTGAAATAAGCTCACATGCTGCAACACCAATGATAGAAGCATATTTATTACTTCTTTATAACCTTCTAAGCATCACCGTAAAATGCTGGAGATCATAGTTTTGCAGCTGCAGATTATTAAATTTGTGACAGAATGTGTCCCTAAAGCATTAAAATGAAGTGTTGTAGATACCTGAAAGGATACTTGTATTTGTTTGAAGAGATACTAACTCACAAAGTATTTTCAAGATAGTTTACTACTGGCCAATGCATGCTCTACCTAGCAGAAAGTCTTCTCTCTGCCTGGTATCTTTTTTCCCCTCACTAGTACATGACTTACTGAATGGTACCTTTTTTCCCTGTAAATACACTATCCTCACATGGAGTTTGTGGGATAGTGTTAGTGACTACAGGCGATTCTATCGCTGATGTGTTGTTCTAAATGGCATCACTAAATAGCAAATTAAATATTTCCAGTCTTTTCATGTGGTATCAAGCTTTATCACTTAAATGAGACCAGCTATACCCTGTATACATCTTTAAACAAGGAATTATACTTTGCTTCTTTCCTAAGCTCTTTAGTCTTTTTTTAGGCAAATAGGAAGGCTGGGTCAAAGACCTCAGCTTCATTTCTGGACTGCTACTTAATGTCTGAAGCATCAGTTCATTGTTCAATCTGCGTAACAAAGTGTACAGCTCTTTCTTCAGAATTGGAACACCAAGGAGTTTCCCCCATCTGTCACCTGGTTTATATATTTTAAAACCATTGACCATATTCAGACAGCTTAACCTTTAATCTACTGCTGCTACAAGTTGCACCTATAAGAAGTAGCAGATGAGATCAAAAGGTGTATTTTTCAGTACTGAGTAGCATATCACATCTCACAAGAGAAAAAATATGAATAGCAGAAGATACTAGAGTCAGCATGAGCACTCATCTAGTCGAAATGAAACCTGGTACCCAATTTAAAAGGAATAGCTTCAGTTTGAAACCATAGCAAGCTCACCAGTACGGATTTTTGTCGAGTTGGAAAAACAGGTTGGAGACTTACATTTTCGCAACCTCTTTAACAACATCACGGCAGGTCATTTCCTTCATCTGTAGACAAAATATACACAGATTAAAAGAATATATTGTTTTCCATTTCTACAAGGCCAGAACATGAAGGGCTGCGCACATGCCTAATAAGCTTTCTGTTCAGCAGTGATAAAAGTGACAAAAAGTTAAGACTAGAACCAAATTTATTCTCTACGATGAGTCTTTCAGCCTGCTATATGCAAGTCATTCTTCCAGTGAAGAATTTCACAACTGAAAGATTCCATGAAAAAACTGTTACATGGAAACCTCCCCAGTTTAACGCACTCATCAGCGGGAAGCTTAGAAGCCGAACAGAAAACCTTAGCATCGTAAAAGCTTGACTTTTTCTTAGATGATGATCAACTGACATAAAGTAACCACATGTACAATCTGGGGGAGGCACCATATTTCTACATATAATATTCATATTCTTTCTGGGTAGTGTAGCAATACTTTTGGTCTTACCAACATTTTATGCAAGCAATTTTGACTTTTAAGTAATGCCCTAAGAGGAGAATATTGTTCCAGTGTTAACAAGCAACTACATGCCTGAGCAAGGTATCAGCATCTCATTTTATATTTTCTCTCTGTTTTATCAGTCTTCTGACAGTTTCCCAGTTAATCAAAACAAAGTCTCTTGCCAATTTCCATGACATAATAAACTGATGTTTTGTAGGTCAAATCTCTTGCCAGTCAACTCTTCCGGACTATGAAGTAGTAATATATTCTACTATATTTCATTAATTCAGGGTTGAAACAAGATAAGCCTCATTTCCTGTCTCAAGGTTTCATTTGCACAAACCAGATAGACATGGGTCTTTGATACTGCACTCACAAGAACGCACCTGTCATTATTGATTGAAGCCAATGGGCCATTAGTCACAAAATACAGGCCAATACATTACACATTTTACTGACATTTTCCCTAGCATAAAATGATTTTCAAGTTCAAAGTAAATTATCGTTTCTTTTTTTTCCCCATTATTTACACTGAGCTCAGAGTGCAAACCATTAATTACATATAGTTTACCATCTCTTTCGATTCTCAAAATGTTTTCAAAACCATAGTACGGAAGCTAGTTTTGAGACACTGGTGAAGGAACTAAGACGACAACAGTCCTTTGTTCATGTTGAGTGTCTCAGCACTTTCTGGGGTGAAGCGCACACCCACGGAAGCAATGGGCCAGAGAAGAAATGCCCGTGCCTGGTGAGACAGAAATGCCATCACAGTCCCATCCCAGGAAGTCTCCTAAACAGACAGAGACCCATTGCCCCAGCCCTTATGTTTGTGACACTCGATCCATAACACACGCAGCACTGGCTGCTGTGTACAAATACAACTTGTGTCACACAAGCATTTAAATTACTATGTGTATTTATGCATATAAAGTTAGTAGCGAAATAGGAAAACCCAAAGGTCTGCTACTATCGCATATTTACAAGAGAGAAAACTGAAGTACATTTATTTTTTGCCATTATCCTTTTCCCATCCCAGGTATATTAATTCTGCAGACAATAAGAGTAAACACTCCAACAGTTTATCACAGGAGCTAATTACGGTTATGTCCATATAATCAAAAAGTTGTACGTAGCATCGGAGCTGCATGAGAAGCACTGTAGAAGAGCTCACAAGATTCAAGTACTCTCCACACAACTACAAGTCTTCCCATAGCTGAAGCTATCAGATATAAGATCCAACAGATGTGATCAATGCCGTGTTTTCTGCTTGTGCCCTCAGCTACATATGAGGGTCTCGCATACTGTGTCGTCCCCCCCAGACACAGTATCTGCTCTGCAGTACCTGTAAGGCGGGTTTAAAGTTTTAACTACCTGCTTGCCTCTTACTTTCCACCTGCAGTCATCTCTTCGACAGGAACAAATCTTAGTTGACAGGCTATGGTAGGTGGTATCACCCCACAAAAGCTTTTGTACTCCTGTCTCTTTCCCATTTCAGTTTTGACAAATTCATCTTGTCAAAATTAACTGTGACCTGGAAACCTGCCCATCCTATGGTTAACAAAAAGCATCGGCATGCAAGACTGGACTTGCTTCACATCACTGTGACAAGATCATACGCATTACTGAAGACATTCTGTAAATAAGCCATTAAATAAATAAATGCAGTTAGGCAATATGGCACCACTGTTCCCATGTACTAAATTTTACAGGCTCTGCTGTAAAATTCAAGCAATACACACACTTATTAGCTGTACAAAAACTCAGTTAATAAAACAGAAGCTTTTGAAAATCCCAGCAGTGCACAGAAAATGAATTTTTTTGGGGGTAGATTATATATTACCCAACATTATCATTATCTTTCTGCCAATTTGCACACATGGAAATTGAAATTATGATTTCCCAGATGCCACGATTCCAGTATCGAGATCAGATGATCTTGTAGGCTTCTGACTTTTAATTTGGTATTCGAGCATCTGACCAGATTCAAGACTGAATGAAGGAAGTCTAGGAACATCGTAATTTTTCCTGTAATTTTTCAGTTATGATGCTACAGCACCATAAACAGACTATTCTTAAGAATATAACCACCATATGAACTCTGAACCTTTCCATGAACAGCTGTGATATACTTCTGCAGACCCAAACCATAAATAAGATGCAAGCAGAGTATAAAGTAAGAATTACATGAGACAGACCAGAAGCAGGATTTTATCCCACATTAACTGTCTCCAATTCCAAGGGTGTCAGATATTAAAACACAAGAGAAGGACAGAAGTCTCTTAGGATTCTAACGTAGTTCTAAATCAGCGTAAGACACACTTCAGTAGTCTTCTCTCCACAGACTAGTTTTACACAGCCAACTGTTTGCATGCTCATTCAGAAAGCTACGAAACAACTTCTTGGTGTACATTCGCAGAACCTCCTTGTAGCACTTGACAAGTTACAGTATTGTGCAAGAAGGAAATGCCGAACAGAAACAGCTCTTTCTGGTGTCAATGACGGTGTGCCATATAGTTGTACTCTTCCTAGTGTTCACAGCACTAAAGTCCTTTTCATCAGACGTGTAAAGATGTTTTGAAAGGTATGTTACAGCCAGCAACAACAACCTACTTGAACACATCTTTTGAAAAAAGGCAGTACCTCAACACTAGCCAGCTGGGAAACACTGTCTTACCTGGCAAGGATTTTATTTTTCTCCATTACATTTTCAGAGCCATAATATTCCAGCGGTCATTCAGTATTCTGCAGTTCCATTCATTGTCCTTAACAAGACCAGCTTTTTTCAACTTTTTAAACAAAAGGATCATCTAAAACCTTCGGAAAAAAATAGATATACCACCCTGTACAATGCTGCCCTAAGGTTTTCATTCACAACTAAAAACTTAGTTACACTTTTATATTCACTCAATTACTTTGCTCACTGGCATGCATGGGTGTGTATGTTTATGCCTCCTGTTTTAAACATGTATACTCCCTACAGACTACCCATCGCCCAGGGGCAAGACTTGAGAAATACTGCTAGCAGAGAGGCTAAAACATCTCCTAGAACATACCAGGGAATATTCCATCTGCTTCTCTTGTATTTTATATGTTTTAGGCATCCAAAAAGGTAACATAATAAGCTAGGAGTATTTGTTTGAAACAGCACAACAAAACTGTAACATCATACCTGAAGTTTTTCTATCTCTGTTTTTGCAGCCTGCCTGGCTTTACCAATGGCACACCCCCAATAACCCTAAAAAAAAAAAGAAACAAAATATGCACATTTAATTAAATACTAAGCCCTCTACAGTTCTTACTGTCACTTAGCATATGAGAACCCCCACCCTACTCACATATCAAGAGGCTAATATACAGTAACCCTTGGTATTGTTTTCTCTCAGGGCACATTCCCAAGTTATTGAATAGAACCCAATTACTAGATGAAGTACTACCACTCTTGATAGAAAACAGAAGAGCTCAGTAGTTCCTGAACAGAAACATACCTACTCAATTTGTTGCAATACATAATTTTTTTATTGTTATTACAGTAAATGAAAAAGCAAACTAGAATTAGAGAAGTTCCACAGGATCAAAAAAACCCAAACCCACCTACCACGAAAATATATTGAAGTGTAAGCACATAAAAATTAAGCACTTTATTTCCCTCAACAGCTATGGTATTGGATATATTGGAAGAAAATTTAAAAAATCAGAACAGTATGAGTGTGTATCATCCTGTGTGTAATACACAGCTGAAGAGAGCATTAACAGCAATTAACAAAAGTATCTATTTTGATTTGACTTGCTGTGAGCAGCCAGCATCAGAGTAGCAGCCTTCTCTTACCTGAAGCTCTCTTTTACCTGAAGTATTTTGTGAATGGGGTATCACTACAAGACTTGCCCTCTTTGGGCAATGCATGGGACTTTTCACTGGATATAGCCAGGTGGAATGAACTCCCAAATTTCTGAGACAAGCTTTAGAACTAGTTTCTCAGAGACTGTACTTCTAAGAAATACACAATGTGTGTTTAACAAGCACATGCAAATGAGCAAAACCAAGCTCTGTTCATTTTAAGCAGTGATTCACCGGAGATCTTCCCAGGCGAAAAAAGAAAAAATTAACAGCTCTTTTGGAATAGCACTTACTATTTTCCTAACTAGGAACTTTTAAAAGGAGAACTTATGCCAAGATGGAAATATTTTTGACACACTCACGTATGAAACTCCTGATGGATCAATCATGTATAGTTGTGCACCATCATCATCATCATAGGACCCCAACATGAAACTGGAGGGGAAAAGTGAAATTAGAAACATTTCTTCTACCAACCCACACAGAATTACAGAGACTACACCAACTGAGGTTTCCTACATTCTTCTTGGAGCGAAACTCCTACTATCGTGCTACATTCTATTAAGCAATTTGTCTCAACAATTTAGTGTTACCATGACAGCCGAGCACCTGCAAGTTGCCAGAAACAAAAATTTTACTTATCTGTAACTAGACAGCAGATCTCATTTTATTAGTCCCTTTGTACTAGAACTGCATAGTAGTTGTAACCTACTCTTTAGGTATCAGGGCAAATAGGATGATTGTAGAGGAAAGTTCTGCTTTCGTCACTGTCACAGACTTAATAGCATCAACTCTTCAACTTTAAAATCAGGGACAAACTGGCAATCTATGCAGAAGCTTGGCATACTGTTACGCAAATCTGAATTCTTCACCTAAGGTTTTACACACACACAAAAAGAAAAGGGGAAGGGAATCTGTTTATGAGATGAATTGTAGATTACTAATTCCAAGTTTAAAAAAAAGACCTTAGACAAACTAAATAGTTCCAGCAATTGTGAAACAGAAGATCTTCACAAATAGTGTATGTCTGAAAGACTTACCTGCAACCAAAAGGTCTGACAGCACTGTATAGTGTGTATGCATGCACATACATAGCCACTCTGTCTGCAAGATGCTAAGTGGAAAAAGAAAACAAAAAGAAAAACTTTATTTACAGAAATAAGTAAACCTCAAGTAATAAAATTTAATTCTCTGTGTCGTAGAATCACTTAGGTTGGAAAAGACCTTTAAGGCCATCAAGTCCAACTGTTAATCTAGCACTGCCAAGTCCACCACCAAACTATGTCCCTGAGCACCACGTCCTTTAAATCCCTCTCAGGATGGTGACTCAACCACTTCCTTGGGC